ATGGATAATTGGTTGAAGTGCTACTTGCATTGCCGGAGCAAACCATGCAGGAGCTCCTGCACCAGGGTACATTCTCACTGCGTTTTGTCCAAGCAGGACATGACGTCGAACTCTGGCGGCCCCCATTTCGGCATCAGTCACTCGATTGCCATCAACTTTGCGGAGACGCTTGCGGGACTCAACGTCATCAGTGGCTACTTGCACGTCGTTGATATTGCGGGGGTTTCCTACAGCGACAGCTGGTGCGAAGACGGGTGCAATGGCATTCGCGTGTGGATCGGCAAGCGCATTCAGGGCTGGGACTGAGGCATTGTAGTTGGTCATGTCGGCGCAATTTCTTTTTCTTTTCGATTTCGACGAAATATTCGTAGTAAATGATACATTTCAAAATACCTACACACTTAGTTACGTATCTCCACCGATACTGTAGTAGTGCTCGCTCGAACTTACTAACCTTTTACTAGACCCTGGAAGGAGTGAAATAGTATTAGATTATACAATTTGGTAAATACTGTTGATTAATGCTGTGCTGCGCGCGTGTGGACGACTTCAGTGTGCGTAGAAGTCTTGGCGTAGCACTCGATCATTCTCTTTGTACTCGGCCAAGTAGGATTTCCAATCACCAGTTGGCGATGGCTGCAACGAGCTGAGCTACCACACCAAAGCTCGTACTCCACAAGTCTCAAGGTATGTACAGTACAAGAGGGAAAAATTATTTCGAGCAAATATGGATAATTTCCGAGCGAGGCAGAATTTTCGAGTAACTTTGGACAATAACGTTAGGGAGACTATCTGAGCGTACTTACTGTTAATAGAGCACATAATGGACTAGTAGTAATTTATGATCGAAGTAGTACAAGTATACTTGGTAGGACAGTTATCCGGAATCCGGTTAAAATTTGTTATACGGATTTAACCGGTTGATGTTGTCCCGATCATGCAGTCCCCCCCCACACACAAGGGCTGCTGACAAAAGTTTTAGGCGCCCCAAAGGCTCTTACGCTGGTCTATCATTGAACAGCATCGCACGTGTAGGGCTTTGCACCACAAAAACCTGAGGTCGGTTTTGGAGGTCTGCCTTTAATGTGACACATTCGACATTGAGGCAATGTGAACAATGGATGTATTTGAATTTTGAGCTGTACCGCATGCACTTTTTCGGCATGGACATGGTGTGACGCATTGCGACTGGCAGTTGTCACTTGGTAGGCAGATTCCGTTGAAGTTATTATGGAAAGTCACTCTATTGCAAGGACTTCCCTGGAAATGAGACTAAACTATTGCAACCCATATTCGAGCTAATACGTAACGTTAGTAAAACCTAACGTTAGTCTAAGGTCTGTGCAATGAGACCCTGACGTGCAGTGTTGGTACATTGCGTACTGCAAATGATGCCATCATGATTCACAGTCCAACAAATCAGTCGCAAAATGGATAACGTTATGCCCTTAGGGCATCCCCACCGGTGCGACTGTATAATCAGACTGTAAAATACCGTTTTACAGTTCCTGTATTTTGATTTTCGTCAACCCCAGCGGTGAAAGTGTAAAACATCCGAATAATGTTTTTATCCGGAAGTGAACGCCTGGCGCGCATGTTTGTGCGAAGGCATGATGGCGTGGGAGGACGACGATGATGACATGGATCAAGCTTGGGAGATTCTTGGCTTTCATCAGTCTTCTGCGC